TGTTGTATACAATCGGTTAATTCAGTTGCTTATCATTTAAGGTACAGATCCCCTCTTTATAGACCAGTAAACCTTTGAAATGTATATTCAGATAAAGTTCCTTTTCTCCTGCTGGGAAGAGACACCATGTGGTCTGGCGAAGACTTAATGTTGGTTCCTTCCCGTGTTAAGTTGATGGCTTTGTTTACCTTTTATGTAAATGCATTTCCAATGACTCTCGATTTACCTTGAAGACACATGCAAGCCCGCAGAACCACATTCTGGGTGGGGTGGGGTGCCTTTTAAAAACATGTCAGCATGTTTTGCCTATGTTTCCTATTCATACACCACACAATAATATTAATGGTCAGAGAGTTGTGTGGTTTTCTAATGGTACATTACACAACAACTGTTAGATGTATTGAGTATGTCAGGTCTGACAAGTTGCTGACACAGAGTAGTGAACCACCCGTGGGCCTCTGGGTCACACGTGTAAAGCCATGGTTCTAAGTAGAAAATTAATCCAATACACCACATGCCTTCTTTTTTTGTGTGTGTGTTCTAAGGCCAGCTGTAAACACAGACCTCAAGATGGGGATGAAGGGGAACTTTTACACTAGTAGCAATTGATGAAAGGTAGATACCGGGGTAAAGCACATGAATAATTGAATGATCTCTTGTGCAGAATTACTGAAGTGAGGTGTGAAAGAGAATGCAATGTTTAAAGTTAGAAGAGGGCTGATAAATGAATGGAGATCTTTATGTAACTTTTGTGTGTATATTTCAAGTTGTATTTCTTAAATGTTTGTTATTGCTAATAAACTCTGTCCATAGCCTGTTTGTTTCTGTCTACATCCAGTACTCTGATCAGCAAATAATGCATAAACGGATTGTAAATTAAGCTTTCAGGTCAAAGGTTTCAGCTGTGGGTATCAGTGTTATGTGCAAAGATATTGTGTATACAATACTTATCTGATTCTGATTAGTGCCTTGCACTGATGCAACTTTTGACACTATTATTCATTAATAAACCTTTCTCTAGTGTACTAATGCAAACATCCACTAATGATTCAAACCTGTCTACCAACTTACACAGTATAGACAGATAATGCTTTTTGCACAAATTCCCAAAAGGAAGTCAATAACCCTTTTAGTCTGACAGTTTGTATATTAAAAGTTAACTTGTTGGTCCAGACCAGTGAAAGGTATTACATTCTCTCACCTATCTACTCCCCCTCTCGCCCCCACAAGCACCACTATGGCTACACTTTCCACATAAATTAGCAATTGCCTTAATCAAAGATTCAGAGAGGAACCAGACTTCACGCTTAATCTATCCGAGGTTTAAAAATACAAAGCAGAAGCCTACATGCAGAGTTCCTCACAATGACTGCTATCCAGAAACTTGCATATGCATGCTCCTTTTCCATTTTTAAAATATATATAATAAATCCTAAGCCTTCTCAAACAGGAAGACAGCCAAAGAAAGAAACATGAAACCTTTGAGGCATTTTTTTTTCTCTTTAAAAGTTTTATTTTAGGTACTTGTTCTATAATCTATACCAGGCCTATTCAATATTTTATCTTGCCTGCATCTATGGTAGTGGAAGATGGAGAATAATCCTGTTCCTTCAAAAATACCTAAATCTCTTGTAGTACAAACACATCTTCATGTCTCATACTTCTTTCTCTGCGTCAAAAGTTGTGATTCTAGTCATTTACCTAAAATGCACAGTGAAAAAGGAGTAAGGATGGGTTGTACAATACAAGAACAGAAAAAAGTAACAGCTGAAATGGGGGAATGGATGTAAAAAGCATTAGAAGTCTGTTGGACTGGCACATCTTTGGTAGAATGGGTCATAGAGATCTGAAACTGGCCTTCCCTAACAAAAGAGTTTTAAATCTATATTATTTAAAAAGTTGTGGACACGTAAATTTTGTTGTTAATTTGGTAAGGGATTAATTGTTGCTGAATTGAGATAGATCAATCCAAGGCACTCAAACCAATTTAAGATTGTCCACAACAGACATTTACACCAGTGTAACAAAATCTATTTTAAAGTAAGACTGAAATCAGTGAAAATTCTGTCAGTATACTAGCCTTGAGTTACAGGAAAACAAGAATTGTTAGTAAATGAAGACAAAAAAGATTGGAAACAGGATCAAGTATGGCAGGTAGAGGAGATAAAGGGCAGCAATCTGACAAGATAAACACGAGTAAATTGAAAAGGCCTAGATCATACCATTCTGCAAGTGAAAGGTGGGGGGATTCTGTTTTTTAGACTAAACCTAATCTTATAATTGGAAATAAGGTCTTTGTGCCCAAGGCACTATCCAAACATGCAAGTTGCACCAATTTAACTAAAATCTATTTAAAAACTGATGTAATTAAACTGGTGCAAATGCATGGCGTAGATGTGCACACATCAGTTTCAGACTAATTATATTGATATAGCATATGCCTGTAAATTTCCTGATGCAAGCTAAATCAATATAAACCAGGTTTAAATCAAATGCAGTGTCCCCACAGAGTTTTGCACCATTTAATTACATCAGTTTAAAATTGCCTGTTCAGTTACCAGGCCAGAGTTGAAACACTGCTGGGGCAGTATTCAGGGCTACTACCCCTCTGGATTTCTTCTGTGGATAAAGAGAGGACTGCAGGCTTCAGAACTTATGTCCACTTCTCCCAAGCATTCCATTCATTTCCCTCCCACCCCCCTTTTAAGGGCTTCTTCAAAGGCAATTACATTTGTCTGAAAATATTTTTACCTGCCAGTTGACCAAGTTTGCATAGCCTTGCACTGAACTTCTCAGTGTGGGGTGTAACATGATGCTAAACCAAAAGGGGGCAGGGGACATGGAACCACTGGCATCTGGTTAGCAGCTTCCAAAATTGCCGATAGTTTAAAGAACTGGCTGATGACAGCCATTAAAGCCTTCTAAACAATCCTCCCAATGCAGTTTAAAATGGTTGGTGACACTCTGAATGACTTCTCTCCCAGAGAGAGAAAGAATAAATAAGAATGACGGACCATAGGGACTCTGGCCTGGGGGGAAGGAGACATGAGCACCCCGAGTCCTTGGTGTCAGAGGAAAGGGGGGGAATGCAGAACTCCTGGCATGGAGGCAGATTTACAGGGAGTCCCTGAAATAGAGTGGGATGGGAAGGTGGCAGCAAGCTTGAGGGGGAATGGAAGACTACAAGGAACCCCTGCTGGGTGCAGTGAGTTTGGCCACCAGAAGAGACAAACTGTGACCCTCTATTGTTACAAGTAACACCTAAGGTTCTTTCCACTCAGTGTATGTCTACGCTGCAATTAAACACTCATGGCTGGCCCAGGTCAGGTGACTCAGGCTAGGGTTGTAAAATTGTGGTGTAGACATTTGGACTCGGTCTGGAAAATCTCTACACCCCAGTTCTATAACCCCAAGAGCCTGAGTCAGCTGACATGGGTCAGCTGTGGGTGTTTAATTGCACACCTTGTAAGGCTAGAGGGGAACAAAAACTCATGATATTTTGAGGGCCTGTCTCCCATGGTTTTTGAATGCTTGGGATTAGCAATACTGGGAGAGGTTCTAGAGAAGGCTAAGATTAAGACTGGAGCAAGTTCATCATTATTTTTTTAAAATAAAAATAAAATAAGGAGGGCACTTTTGAACTGGCACCCGAGATTCATGGGATTATTTGCAGATGGTGATGTCCTTGCTGTACACTTGAAGCAGCATGGGTGAGGATGTTCCTACACTTGGAAAGGTATCAAAGTAGCTATTCCAGAATGTATATTTAATGGCTCAGTATGGACACTTACTCTGGAATAGCTATTTTTGGGACATTTCCAAGTGTAGACAAATCCTCAAGGGGAGTGCTGCTGATGAAAGCACAAAGGAGGATTTATGCAGAAGGGGAAGCGAGGCACTAGGGTACACAGGCAGTGAGGTTGCCTTTTTCACCACAGCTGCAATCTCACCAAGGTGGGAGACCATAGGATACCTTATCTACCTCTGAACTGAGACTGCTTCCAGCATTGAGCAGTTGATGCAGCATAATAGGATATAAAGGTTAATTATCAGGAAAGATTAACGGGCCTTGTCACAGCATTCGCAAAAGATCTGGGCAGGTCATAAACATACATCATCTTGCATCCTCAGGGACTCTTAGTTATTGATTTTTTTATTCTTCAGATTTCGCTGATTTCAGAAGGGAGTTAACCTATGGGTCAGTCTAGCTTGCCTATCCCTCTGGACATGCTAGACCCCGGCATTAAGTATCTAACATGTACACACGCCTTAATCCTGGCCATACGCTGCGATATGCCCCACTCCACCTGCTGTCCCGCAAACGCCGCTACCGCGCATGCTTCGGCTAGCCCTGTAATATTTTTTAAGAGCTGTGGCGATGGGTATATGTGCTTGTTATGTGTGAGTGAGCATGATTGATGGGAAGGGGCATGCCAGTGAGCAGGAGCCGTTCCCAGCCAGCATGCAGTAAATATGCATTGCTGTCTAGTGCATCTTTCGGGCAGCAGCGAAAGTTCGCATTTTATAACCTACCTTTGTTTCAGTAACGCAATTACCTGCAACCCCCTCCCACTGTCAGCGCCTCCAGGCCGTGACACCAACAGCCAGAGGCCACCGGCAGCGGTTCGCTTTGAGCTCCCCTCCCAGCGCGGGGATCAGCCTGTCTCTCCAGCCAGCCAGCGAGGGGCAGACGTAAACAATTTCCTACCCTCCCGCTCCGTCTGGGCAGCTTTGCAGACGAGGCGGCTGCAAACTTTACGGACGGCGCGCGAGGCACAGTCTGCGGGGCGGGGGGCGCGGGACCCCGGCCGCTCGCGGAGCGAGCGCGCGCGGCGCTGCGCGGAGAGGCGCGCGCGCGCGGGCTGCCGGCGGCTGGGGCGGGCTGCGGAGGCGGGTCTGCGGGCAGCGGCTGACAATGGCAGGGGCGCCCGGGCTGCCGGCGGAACCTCCTCGCCGCACGCCGCCAGCCGCGGGCTTTCTCTCGCTCTCTTGTCGCGCAGGAAGTGCCCGGTGGTGCGCGAGGCTGTCAGACCTGAGGGCGTGACTCTCGGCTGCTGGATTCCCGGCCCCCCGCGCCCGGAGCCCGGTGAAGCCCGAGCTGGGTCCAGCTGAAGCAGGCAGGAGGAGGAAGGAGGAGCGCAGCCGGATCAGGTACAGAGACGGGGTTGGGGGAGAGGGAGGGAGAAGCAGCCGCTGCCCCCGCGCCCCCCGGCAGCCCCCTTTGCTAGGCAACGGGGTGGGGGGGGGGTCCATAACCTGGACCATAGCGTCTGCCTTGTACAGCTCCTCCGGCGCGCGGCGCACGGGGGGCTGCGTTGGAAATGGGCACCTTGTTTTCCTGGCTCAGGACTTCGCACTGAGCATGCTTCTTCCCTGTGGCCGGCTTGTTCCAGCCTGTGATCGCCGGCTGCTGCTGCAGCTTCAAGCCCTTTGTTCCTGCAGCCTCCCTAAATGATCTTATCACGGCCGGGGAAGCGGCTAGGGAGCCTTCAAGACAATGGTGGTGTCGGCGAGTTACCGGAGCGTGAGAGAGCCGCTCTGCTCCGGGGGGAGAGATACTTAAATGTTACTTTGTTCAGTTTTCAGATGAATAAGCACGGAGTGAGCACGGGGCTGTCATTTTTCTCAGGCAGCGATCTGAGATAGGGAAGAGCTAGCTGACCTCAGCTGCCTGTGTGGAAGCAGTAAGTTACCTTTAGTCTTACTCAGCCAGACCTGAGTGTAATTGCCTTTATCGGCTGACAATCGGAATTACCTGGGAGTCAAAGCTGCTGATCCAGACTTCTCTGGATTAAGCCACTAGGTGATTGATGCTCCTTGAACATGCCCTGTTCTTGTGATGGGCAAGATGCATGGGCAAGCAGCACAGGCCTTCAGGCTTTGCTGTCATCTCCCTTCCACCTACAGACTCCCAAACAGACTTCAGATTTCTTCAGCTGCAAGAGATGGGGCCCTGCTTCCCCATCTACATCTTGCCAAAGGCAAAAGCGAGCACCTTTTTCTCTAGAAATAAATTGGAAATAGTGGTATTTGACAAGTTTGTTGTGCAGATCTTTGCTTTCCATTTTGAGGTTTAAAATTCAGCATCAGAATAATGATGATAATGAGTGTGAATAATTTCTTTTTTTGGAAGAGAGTTATTCTGAGTGGTGGGAATACATCAGTACAACTGTACTTAATCTCTCTATATAACAAACACTGCTTAGAGTATAAACAAGACTGTTATTGCACAGAATAGCCAATAAAAGGGCATGACAAATGTATGGGATCATTCTTTCTTTTTGGAAAGCACTATTTGGCGTTTGATTGTTATACAGCCATGTAAATATACATGGCACCTTGCCATGTGTTTGTTGGAGGCTGTTGCAGTAAAGATGCTTGATTTATAATGAAATATGTTTAATACATTTATACATTTAATAGAGCAAACAAATACAAGTACAAGGGAAGTCACATATCTGTGTTATGTATTCTTTTTGCTGACCCATCACACTGCCTGCTCTATCTTCTGAATGATACTGAAGGAAATGTAACTAGCCAGGGGCATGGCTAGTGGCTGCGCTAGGAAGTAGCTTTGATGGACATAGGTTTGGTGTACATGACCAATTTATGGTGGTATAACTACATCGCTCGGGAATGTGGAAAATCCACACCTTTGAGCGATATAGTTATACCAACCTAACTCATGGTATAGGCAGCGCTGTGGCTCCCATCAACAAAGTTTACTGCCTCTTGGGGAGGCAGAGTACCTATGCCAACGGCATAGGTAGCATCTTCACTAAGCATTACAGCATCACTGTAAGTGTAGACAAGCCCATAGTACCTTTTTATCTTCTTTCATACTTTTGTTTGATAGGAGTTGTTGCCTTTTCACTCAACTGACTCCTTGACTCCTGGGTGTCCAAGCACTAAATGTTCTATGAGGGAACCTCATGAATGTGTCAGCTGTATAAAGTGTTGTGCAATGATTTAGATATGATCTAAATACTCGTGGGGCATGTAAGTGAGATGAGACTGTGATTTGCATGAAGATGCAATTTGTTGCTGGTGTAACCATAATCTACAGCTGAGATACAAGTGGAATGCCCTAGTGCAGGAAAAGAGGGGCACTTGGGGTAGGTGTGGATGAGTGAGTTGGCATATAAAAGGAGACAGGTAATATGCATTGAGTATGTAGGGCATGTGTATTCAAGATTACATCGCAGGCTTGTGGTAGTGACATAAGGGCAATTCCGTAATATTGTAGGATCTCAAATGTTTGAATATAGAAGGAGCCTAGAGTATTAAAGAGCATTATTAAAATAAATAGAGGTATGCCCTCCCTTTCATGCCCCCAACTTAATTCTGCCATAAAGTTGCTTTCTAGGTAATATGCACTGTTTACAGCATCTTAGACACCCAGGGTTGCAGCACAGCTTAGACACCCAGGTGTGCCTGAGTTTGTTTGAACACTTGTCTCAGTAACTTTTAAAACAAAAGAATGTGATACCAGCCTGACTTTCAGAACTACTGAAAACCTTTAGTTCCTGTTGATTTTAGGTGGAGTTTTAAGTGCTCGGCACTCCTGAAAATGCGGTCCATGGTATCTGATTATTTTTTTTTTTTAAGCAAGTGGGCTACATGCTTCATATACCTATAGCAGACCCAGCTATGACTCCCTGGGTGTGTAGGCTGTTCATGGTAGTGACTAGTGACCTGGTCATGTATCCTTTAGTTGCAGAAAGTCCTTTTTGCTGCTGTCATTGGTGTGTGTTATGTCAATAGGACCCTGCCCCCAACTCACAGCATACACAAGTTCTGCACTTAAGCATCAGAGAATGGGACTTATACTTGGCACCTTCATGCATGTCTAATTGACACATGGATGATGATAGTGCAGTTCACTGGCAGTTTGGATGCCAAAATCTGAATCAAGGCTCTGTTGTCAAATTGTAAGTACAAATTATAACTCTTAGTACACTTTCATTTGAAAACTTTACATTTTGAAGAGTGATTTTATGATTTTGTCAGAATTATTTTATTCTTTATGCTAACAGGGAAAATATATAGCCCAACCTTCCAGGACCGTGTTACTGGGGAGCTAAGGAAAATTGAATGTATTAGCTAGAGTGGTGCCTGGCAGTTACAGATTTTCTAGTTTTAATTAAAATGATTTAGAACAGGAAAGAATTTGCTGTGACTGTTTTTGTAAACTGAGGATTTGTACTTGCAAACAAAAGTTCCACATTGCCAGAAAGCATTGTTAGGTTTATCTACGTAGCTGTGCAAAAATGACAAACTGGCAGAATGATCCAACTTCTGAAAAAAACCCATAAAATAGCTGGATGTTCTTAATTATTTTTGACAATTGTTGTCTCTTTAATTTTAAAAAGCAGTTAGAATGGTGTCAGGGCTACTGGTGCTTTGGTTTAGTAGGGACTAGTATGCTTAGGTCCCAGTCCTGCAAAGGCTGAGCCATGTATTTAATTTTATGCCCACGAAGAGTCCCATGGGCATCAATGAAGCTACTAACATATTTAAAGTTAAATATGTCTTTGCAGGATCAGGGCCTTAGTTTACATCTAGGACTGCAGATTTTTAAGACAAATTGTTTACTGTGTATATACTGTGGGTCCAGTTCTCAATCACATTTTCTGGCCAGATGTCCCACAGCACTTTATCTGTTTACCTGATTTGAATTTATTTCAAACTAATTTGGATCCTACTTTATTTGTCTACAGAGATGGTTCATGTAAATGGTCCATTGTGAAACTGAGGGCTAGTCTACACTAGAAGCTCTATAACAGTGCAGCTGCACTGCTATGGCATGTCTGGTGAAGGCTCTCTATGCTGATGGAAGAGAGTTCTGCCACCTCCGCCAGAGGTGGTAGCTGTGGCAGCGGGAGAAGCTCTCCTGATGACATAGCGCTGTCCACACTGGCGCTTAGGTCGATGCAACTTATGTTGCTCAGGGGGTGGCTTATTCAGACCTCTGAGCGACACAAGTTTAACCAACATAAGTGTTAGTGTGTACAAGCCTGTGCCTTTTGCATTTTCAGTGAAATTTACAATTAAGGCTATGTCTGCGGTACCTCTTATGTCAGCAAAACGTATGTTGCTCAAGGTATAAGGAATAAGCCACCCCCCCAACTGACATCAGTTTAGCCAGGACACGTGGTAGTGTGCACAGTGCTATGTTGGTGGGAGAGCTCTCTCCCATTGGCTTAGAGCAGCTACACGAGAGATCTTACAGCGCCACAGCTGCGTAGGTACAGCTGTGCTGGTGAAAGCTCGCGGGTGTAGACGTGGTCTCAGTCTAGGTACATAACTCCAGTATGGTTAAGGAAAGGCAAGCTCCTTTCTGGTATGCACTGAGAAGGCTTGATAATTGAAGGAAATGGAGAATGCTCTGTTAGTGTAATTGGGGGAATATAAACCAGCATTCTTTTGATTCAGTGACTGGCTTCCTGCCCCACAGGGAAGAGGTGGTGGCTTATTCACTTGGAAACATCTCTCCAAATGAAGTGATAAACTAGAGTGTCTTTGTTAAAGAGTTTGAGGAAAGCTAGAAGCTGAATCTACAAGTAAAATAGCTGCATAAAAGGATGAGGGGATTATTGAATCGTTACTAGAAACTATATGTCTATATGCAAGGCCTCATGTATTCCACATGCAGTTGACCTAAATCCTGCAACGGGGCTCCCTAGTTTCTGCATCAGTTTGATGTGGCAGCAGATTTGCATAAAAATTGGAGATTTTGATTTAAATAAGAAAATAATGCAGCTAGTGTGTTATACCTTGAGTGAGTTTGTTTGTATTTTAATATGAAAGTTAACGTTATTCTGCCCTTACACAATCTATATTGAAAATTGGCAAGTCAATTCTGTGTTATAGAAGTTGTCACTGGGGAAGTGGGATTTTTTTGGTGCTGGGTAGAACATGTTCATCTTGCACCTGATAAGGCTTGAGAGGTAATTTGGGGGATAACTACATAAGCACATTTTGTTTGCTAAAAATGATCAGCAGTGAAATGAACACTGATATTTAAATCATCATTGTTAGGCTTCAAGATTAACACCCCATTGAGATACGTGGAGCAGTCGTACTCGTGAGGCTTTTTCAAGCTATCTGCAGGCGTGGGTTGACTACACATGGCAGGTCTACACTGGGAACGTACATCAGCATAGCGACATCTCTCAGGGTTGTGAAAAATCCACCCTCCTGAGAGACGTAGCTATGCCAACCTAACCCCCAGTGTAGACGGTGCTAGGTTGACGGAAGAATTCTTTCATCAACCTAGCTACCGCCTCTCAGGGAAGTGGATTGCCTACATTGACAGGAGAACCCCTCCTTTCCTGTTGGCGTAAGTGGTGTCTTCACTGAAGCACAACAATGGCGCAACTCAGTGCTGCAGCAGTGCCAATGTAGTATTTTAAATGTACACAGCCTAAGTGTGGCCATAGCCACAGTGCTTAATGTGATAAAAGAATCCAAATAGAAACCAAAAAGCGGTGTCAGTTTATACTCTGCTCACTGCTGGGTCTGGTCTGTAGACAAATTTTCAGTTAGGGATGTGACTCTTTTGCAGTCCTAGTGTAGATGCAGTTATACCAGTATACCATATTTCCCTTCCTGTATCAAAATACGCCATACCAATATAAGCACTTCTGTACTGGTACAAATGCATCCACAATAGGAGGTTGTA